AAGAGCAGGTTTTGCATACTGGTCGCTAAGAAAAACCTCACCAAGACTTCTGAGAATAGAGAAATTCTCAGTTTAACCTCCGAAGCAGAAAGGCCCACGTTCCTTTGGTGATGAGCAAGGCGGCATCTGTTGTCACCCTGCAACCTACTTGGCGCTTTGACTCCTATTTTTAAAGGGTAAGTTTTGATTGGCTTTTTCTTCTCCTCCCCTCAATTAAAAGGAAGAAGAAAAGACAAGACAGCCTCATTCCCCATGTCACAAATCATGTTATTCCTCACAAATTACTCAAAAAAGGACCCAACATAAGGAACAGCAAAAACAACAGTTCCAACTGTGTGGATTAAACTCATTTAGCTCCAGCGCTCTGAGCCAGTTCAGCCAGCCCGCACTGCGGGGCTTAACAGGGGAAGGAGACAGCGTTGTGCCAAGCACCAGACAAATCCCCCACACAAGGCAAGAAGCGTGGGGGAACAGTATAAAGACGGCTCTAAAAATGGGTCTAAGAAAAGCCTGTAGAGGACAGGTGGGAACAGAAATTGGGAGGATGGGAAAGAAAAGTCTTTAAAGGAACTTTTGCCTCTCTCAGGGGAACGTACGTCTTCTGTGCTCTCTTGCACGCGCTTTCTAAACCTCCCTCTTTCAGGTGATGCCTCTGTCATCACTAGAAGTAGTAAAAAAGCAGGTGAACACAACTTGGCTCTCAAGCACAGAAAAAATGAAAAATAAAGAGGTCTCCCAGCTCGCTCTCAGTGTTGTTTTCTCTCTTTGAGCCTAAGGAGGATAAGAAGGGATAAGTTTGCTCCCTTTTTTCCCCTCACTTGTCTTTCATTTTGCTTTGTCCGTGTCTCTCATGTCTGGTGGATCTCAAGGAAGCAGTCAGGGAGTTCAGAATCCTCCACGGAAATCAGATCAGGGAACGACATTCCCAGCTCGCAGCTCTGCTCCAAGGCTTGCACCGAACACCACGTCCCTCTTTGCTTCCTGCCCTGAGCAGAACAATGACGCTTGTGTCCGGAGTCACCCTCCAAGGAGCGACAGCCCTGTCCTCAGCACCTTCTCTACCAGCCTAAACAAGCCCAGCTCCCTCCAAGGCCCCTCACGTCCCAAAAGCACAGGACTGCAGCTGGTGCCGTTTAATTTCACAGCTATTGCTCCAAACCATCTCACTTTTCAGGGCGTGATATTCTGCTCCTCCTCCCGACAGCATCTTGAAACTCTGCAGCATCGACAAGTTTGGGGGCTTGGAGTAGGAGAAAAGCTGTGTCTAAATGGGCGAGCTGGAAGCCCGGCGTGTGTTTCCACGCTGAGTATGTGAGACACTGAGCTGACAAAGAGAGATTACGGGGTTCAAAACCTCTCTGGGTGCAGAACACATTGAGGTTGCTGGGTGTTAAATCAGCAAAAGCATCAGATATTCAGTATTTTTCAGGGGTAAAAGCTAAAGGCTTTTAAAAAAAAAAAAAAAGCCTGGGAAGCTCTTGGAAATGCAACATAATGCAGGTGATAACTCTGACATTTATTTCTCCCTGCAAGCTCAGCTGCAGTGTAAAAATAAAAGTCCAAAAGGGAGGAAAAAAAAAAAAAAAGAAAGTTGCTGTAGTAATACATAAATACATGAGATGAAACAATCACGGAGCGTGGCACCGAGTCCAGCAGCTCACTGTGACCCTCAGCTCCCCTTGCAGATTCAAGGGGCTCCTTCGGATCTGTTCCCACCCTAAGGAAGAGGCTGCACTCACACAAATCCACCCAAAACCCTGACACATCCAGGTTTCATTCTCAGGAGCAGAAAGCCCTCGACAGTCTCTGCACAGGCTGTGAGGAGGCGAAAGTGAAAGTGCCTAAACCAGAAGTAAAAGTGAAAGTGTCCGTTCCCCTCTGAGCAGCTTGGATGTGCCACGACCACCACGCAGCATCCTCAGGGAACGGGACCGACTTCTTGCACAGGGTCGGTCGGAGAGCGGAGACACCCCGCAGAACCGACGGCTGGAGGAGAGCTGGAGAGAGCCAGCCCAGCTCTGCACCAGCACGGCCCAGTTGAACCCACAGCGGGTGTTATCCGTGCCCTGAAATCCCTGGGGAGCGGATTCACAGCCTGTCCTGGTGATTTCCTACCCCGACTGGAGAAAAACCAGTCACCTTTGCAGCTTCGAACACCGGTTGCCAACGCTGCAGGTGAGGCTGATCCTGCTGTGGCCGTGCAGGAGTTACCCTCCAAGAGCCTTGCATTCCTTGGAAGGCTGCTAACCTGCTCCTTCCTCCTCCTTTTCCAGACTTAAAGCCAGCTCCTTTGACCTTTTGTCCCCAGTCCCACCTGCAAACGTCCTGCTCTGTCCTCTGCAAGCCAGCCTGAGTGGACGTGCCCCACCAGCAGACACACACGGCCCCAGCGCCTCCCAGCAGCTGCACACCTTTGCTCCCTGTTCCAACCCAGGGCTCCTGCAGGGGTCTGGATGCCCATCAGGAGGGTCAGCTCAGGCTAGCAGACACAGACCTCCCAAAAACCAGGATCCTCTTTTGGCTCATCCATTTTTGTGTGACCTCTGGATGGCCTCACCACGCAGAGACTTCCAACGCCAGCCCGGGAGGAAAATCAAGGGCTTCTGAACCGCTTACTCGTACAGACTTGTACAGAGAAAAAGGTTTGCTTTCCTGCCTGGTCTTTTTTTTTTTTTATATTTCTACCTCAAAATTTCCGAAGCAGTTGCTGCAGGCATCTGAATGCTGTCAAATCTCCAAAAGCCTGCAACCCAGCGTGGTTGACGCACGCTGAACGCAGCCACGCGGCTCACCTACGGGGCTTTCAACCCATCCTCAGCACCGCTGCGCCTGCACGGTCCCTTCCCACAGCCTTGCTCCATCCTGCCTCTCTTCAACCAGGATTTCCTCCGTTTTCCTGGCTTGGCTCCATTGTTAGTATGAGCTGTAACAGCAGGCATCAATGGCAGCGTCAGTTCTGGCACCACCACGTGCCACTCTGTGTCGTCAACAGTTCAAGTACTGCCAGCTGAGACTCCTTAAGGTCATCCTCCCAACATCTTCAGCTCTCCTAAAGTCCACTTTCTCTCTTCTTTCAATAATCTCCCATCCTGATTTTGCTGCTCTAGCTCTTTAGTTGTACTTTCTAATCATCTTCAGCACGCAGAAATTACGATGACAATTATACAAACTGTCCCTTTCGACTCTGTGTAATAAAACCCACGGTACTACCTGCTGGATCAGCTATTTACCCGCAAACTTCTTTTAGCTACAGCCTGCTGACAGAGCAGCCACAAAGGTAACCTGGTAAACATACTGACAAAGAGGAAAGTCTCTTTTTCCAGGAGTCGCAGAAATCATAATCACAGAATGGTTTGGGTTGGGAGGGACC